GGGGATGATTGATATCTATATGGGGGCTGGGGGTGGGGGTGGTTGATATCTATAAGGGGATGGGGTAGGATAGAGGGGGGCTGAAATTTAGATCAGATCTACCTGAAGTATTAAGTGCTGTAGGGGGTAGAGGACGGGGATACCATTACTATACATGGTTCCTTTAGATCAGGCGTATCTGAAGCTACAATGAAACCTGACTGGGTTAGGTCTGGGGAATTTGTCGCCCTGAATATTGTTTTTTTCTTCTGTAATTAACACCTGATGCCTCGCCGATATTTGAAATTCAGGTTTCCTATATCAAAGCCATGGACTTGTATCTTATCGTGTCGTTCCTTTTCGTGTTTGGAGCCGTCATGGAGTACATCGCTGTCCTATCGTACATAGATTTGATGAATCACAGAAAAAGTTTAGAAAAAAAGTTTGACACAAGTGACACTACTACTGTCGATGATGAAAAGGCCGAAGAAAAACCCCTTAAAGAAAAGGTATGATTTTATACATGTACATAAAATATTCTTTCCATTTATTCCCTCGTTCAATCTCTCTATCCATTCATCCACTAATAATCCATTATGTGCATTCAAATCAATATTAATCTTAATAATAATGTCCAATCTAATGACATTAATGTCTTTGTTGATTCAGGATACGATGTCACCTCACGCTGTCCAAGTATCGCGCACATCTTATAATCTCAACGAACCTCAAAAATCCACCGTCCAACGAAGTGCAGCAACCCATATGATCAAAAAGATTCTGTCAGTCAATACAACACCAATAGATAAGATATCTAAAGTGGCTTTCCCATGTGCCTACATAGTGTTCAACGTTGTTTATTGGGTGTATTATGCACTTTCTAAAGGTACAACAGAGGATTCATTCATTCTATCGAATGGTACTGACTGATTCAACAACTGATGCCTTGTTTTCACTTCCACCCTATTCCACCAAAGAGTTGGTCATTACGCATTAACTATAAACAGTTCTCATTGGATGATATTGAGCCAATTAAAACAACATGTGACCTTTCAATTTGTTAATCCAAACTCTCCTTCAACTTGAAAGATAGTTCATTTTTGAGGAACAAACGTTATCAAAATTCAATGTTTCTAAATCTGCTTTAGAAGTTTCAATGCCAGCCTGTTTTACATACGATTACACACTAAATCAAACAAGATAAATTCAGTTCAACGACTATGAATGTCCTACGAGGGTTATGCATGTATTACATGTCCTATGAAGGTTGTATAAACGTAATTGCCAAAACGTTGACATAAGAAATAACATTTGTATAAAGGAATATGTTAAAAAGAMAAAAAAAWTTCTTTAGGCCTGAGTGATATCTTTTTTTGTTGTTGATAAGTCCATTTTTTCCGAAGTACAAATGCTCTCTACGACAACGTTTTTGCAAAGTAGGTGTATTTTTGTTCTAATTTTACTTTTAGTTCTCCTGTGTAGTAAAATCATGACAAAGTGTTAATGCAAACCTACATTTTCAACAAGGTGCTGACCACTCGATCACTATTACAGCACAATGACATAAATTGAGTTCATTTTTTGTATGTAAATTCTCTCTTTAGTGCAAAATGAACCATTTTTGTGTCTTTCTATCAACATATTAATCTATATAGAAAAGCATTATAAAGATGATCGAACGATCGATCGAAACCACGATTTGAGAGATCGAACGATCGATCAACACAATGATTTGACTAATAAAAACCAATTAAAGAGATTAATGGCGATGATATGTTCTTTAATGAGAAGGTTCAGTGGTACAATAAACAGCATGATATTTCTATTATTACAGCTAATTACCACACCTACATACATCAATTCATACTTGTTAAAACATTGTTTATTTTGTCTTCTAAAACTTAAAATTCGTTTGTTTTGGCGGGGATGAAACTACAAGTAGATCACGAAATAAGATTACAATCGACAGGGACATCTTTATTTCGGTCCTAAACACAGACACAACTATTGCAATGTTTCTTCCGAACCGCTAACGTCTTAAATAAATGTGGACAAAATACTCTTTTGTGATTTAGTGACTCAAAAAGGTATGACAACTAAAAACAATGGCGAAAAGCAAAACAACTTTCTAAAAACATTTCTAACAACTTGAAGCACTATCTATATACAAGGTGTAATTTAAGGCCGGTTTTCATATCKATCACGATCATCGGATCTCTGAAAGTGATGCCAGCGATCATCAGCGATCACATGGAAACACTTTTCAGTGATCKTCAGCGATCTGCTATTGCACGCATGAATCCTTTATGTACATACATTAAAGATTAGCTTGCTCATTCGAATGTCCTTAAAATAGTGAGAAATACACGGACAATAGTAGAAATCGATAATTTAATTAATAGAAAATGACAAAATATATTTTAAAGYAGCCTAGTGACTAGAATCGTCCAGTAGTGAGGAGAATTTCAATTTTTCTACTGTTGCATAATCTCAACAGGGTTATTGTATAATACAAGACCCTACAACCCACGGTGATACAAAGACGTTACCGCTATCTATAAGAAACAAACCTAGAACAGATCTACCAACAACTCAGACATGTACATGAAGAAACTGCATTTCATTATCAACAAAGTCGTCATTCGTTTATAGTAAATCATGGTCATATACTCTCGGTAATTGCTACATATGGGCGGAGTTCATTGTTTAGCGTGTAGGAGTACTTTACATCTATTGGGTTTGACAGATTTACTGCTAAGACTTGTACRGACTATAAACATATTTACGTTATTACGATGAGTGAATATGTAGAAATATGAATGTATTTTGATAAAGAGGGAAGGATGGCTGGATGTTTTCGCTGTTAGTGCGGTAACAGAATTCCTATCATTTAGATAACCATCACTCATTTGCGATATCTTGCCTAAATGACTGTYACTTTATTCTGGAGAATTCAAAGCAAAGCATCCGCTAATTGCCTAATCAAATCTCTCGATAAACTAAGCGTATTGTTGGATGGCTKGCGATGTAGTCTCATTTATAGAGATTGATTGYGTATCKCCTCATCGTAGARAACTCCCCTTTTATCAGTCAAAAGGATCAAAAGTGTTAAGTCCATTCACAATTCAATAGATTGTTTTGATTTACCTAAGCATTTGTAATCACGTAATATTCTCATCAGCCTACTTATAAGACAAGGTGGAGTACCCAATAAGTCCATTAGCACCTGTACACTGACAAGAGACTCTAAGGTGAGAAACGTCTGATATAACCATGTTCTTGATTTGATATAGTTACTGATATCGTCTAATATCGTGCTGTTGTAAATTATGTAATGTGTTGTATTTTTTAGTGCTTATTGTATACTGCCAATATTTCATGTCCTTACAATATGTACAGGTATATGAGGGTTAATATAAGGACGTGCTAATCCCTAGTATRCTTATCTCCATAATGTGTTAGTAAAGCTATCAAATGGTCATTTATTACCCCTTGACGTGCATTATTTGTACGTACACTAAGCACACTGTGTTCTAGTTTGCCTTCTATTGTTGTACACCATGAGAACCCAGGGAGTATGTCAGTTTTGAGACTACCTAGGTTTCAAACTACATGGATCTCGCGGTTGGAAAAGCAGCGATAGAACACGTTACGTGCGTTCGTTGGCGTCCATTTTTGCTAGTTACATCGACCTACAGACTTGTCTCTCTACGTAATATTGTATTTACTTTACTAGTCTATAAGAATGTATGTCTTTTAGGTGATAAAATCAGAGCTTTACTGTTCTATTCATGCAAACAAAGCATTATTCAAACCCGATCTTATTTAGAAGCAAAGAAGGGTGAACTCTAAACCGCGTTATCCCAGCTATTGGGAAACAGTAAAGTCGATCATATCCACAGCAAACATACAGTTTAGACTGCAAAGTGCGTCATGAGTATAAACAAATCACATAAAAACTCGGCACTGCCCTTAATTAACRAGTATTGTTTGTAAATAAAGGACTTTTGAGTGCCACTTAAAAATGACAAAACTYATAGAGAAATTTTTGTTCATAGCGCAATGATCAGATTKAAAGAAAGCAGATACTTACAGTAATACCTAACGTGGTAACTTTCGCCTGATAGTGTACGCGTGTTTGATATCAATAATAAGAAGCCTACGATTCATCTTGAAAGATGAACAGAATGTTTTTACTGCTAATGACGTGCATGCTGACATTTCATGAATAAATAATGATTCAAATGTTTAATTGTAAGTACGGATTTTCAATCAGTCCAATATAATAAAAGAAAATACCCCCAAAATACTTTAGACCAAACATGATTGAAATCTAGGTTATTTTTTTTTAGAAAAGACGAAAAAATAAGAGACCGATTTCCCAGAGAAAGTCGKCGAATCGTCTTATGTTTCTGTTAAAGATTTGGTCTTTTTTACCATGTTGTTCTCAGAATTAAACCTAACTTCGCGCTAACAAACAATAAGTTATGGAAAAGCCTAAGCGATCGATGGGTTATCCCGTTCTATGACCGTGCTATGCTTTAGTCGTGATGTTTTCTTAGTTCAACGTTTTTAGTGGGATTTCAAGCAGGTGGGGTGCCGCTAACACGTCTTGACAGAAACATCCAAACCAAATATGCTGTATCGAAAGTACAAAGTTGAATTGGGATAGTCTATTCGGTGAAAATGTTAACTGATCTATTGTCATGTAAATGAGAGTGATCAAATGGGGCGCTCTGTTAACAACCTAAAGCACCTTGAGGTTGTGAAGTTCGGGCTCCAAGTATTTTACCCTCTTTCTTTGTTTTGATGATTCTTTGAAGAAAATGTATTTTAATCTTATTCTATGCTTGAAAATAAAGGATATATGTGGTATAAACTACTACTATGTTATTGGTCGCATAATAAATTGAGTCCCTTATCAGTCTAGTATCTGTACAATATTTCCTTACAATAAAAATGACAGACGTCAATTAAATAACTGCTATTGACAAAATTTAACGATATCATAAGTGATATTTTAGCGCGTTTTGAAGAAAAAAGCCAATTTTTGACATAGMACTATGATTAACAGCTTATAGTACAGGTGAAGGCTTRCCAACAATAACGATATCAATTGTATGTGCATATAAAGTGTACCGCCTATTCATACAGACCATTGTGCTGATAGGCGTCGGTAATTATCGTTGTGCAGTTTAATAAATATTACTTCTAYAGTATGTACAACCTTATTATCTACAATGATTGTTTACATTTCAAACTGTAAAGACAAGACTTTCTCAATTCATATCATCCATATTTCTGAGTTTTATGATTGGATTACGGTAGAAAGTTTAATAATTTTAACGTTGATACCTGGTGAGATCGATTAAAGCTGGCTACAAATCAGCTTTTCTTCCTATCAGGTGGTGAGGTACCCGCCAATTATCCTTGAAGATTTTTATGAAGAATACAATTTTGATTTAATCCATTCAAATCATGATAAGATTTTTCTTGTAGAGAAATGAAATCTCACCTATAGTTGCTATCAAAAAGATAGCAGTAAAAGCCCAGCTGTATTCAAGTTCTAAACAACAAAAGCTCTTTAAAAAACAATAGTGATCGATGTATCTGTTCTATGGACACTCAATGACAATGGGTAAGCCTGGAAGCGTTATTTAAGCCTTTATAACAGTCCTTATATTATAGCCTGAAGCATATTACTGCATATACCATGCTTAAACAAACTCTTTATAAAAACGACAGCACAAGTTATATATTACAAAATATTTGCATGTCTTCGATCTATCTTCTGCAAGTGATTAAAATCATCCGATCGACAAAAAGGATGCGTTATGTAGATRTGCTTGATAATCGCTTCTCTTTACAATCTGAACCTAGATTACAATTTTACCACCATTGTTAGCGTTCAAATCGCGGTTATGKCAGAGTATGACATCATAGAGATCTGATATCACTATAATATACCCGTATCTGTGTTACATCTTASTTATAATACCGCGGCAATATTGTAGTAAATGGTAGAATACGACGCGTTAGCGAGGTCTGTTATCGCTGTTATACAGATATCTTGGATTGTACCGGCAATCTATTGAACGSTGCTCAATGGTCAATTGTSGTTAACAARTCTGATCTGATAATCGACGATGCCTGATGGAATAGGGATGTTATATATCTATCATTGGTTAAATCATGTTGTAAAACATGAATTGTGGTCATAGTAAACATTGTATTTAAGGATAAACAACTCGGTATAAAAATCTGTTGAACGGAAAACAGTGCAGGATAAGTACCCTGCACCTCATCTACTACTGACGCTTCTCCTGCATGTCCTACTTAAGGGTATGGTAGTCTTTCTTATTAATTCTTAGACCAGTGTTTGCTGCGGACTTGTTGACACCCAGTCAACCTTTAACTTTCCTACAATTTTCATTTTCGATTTTTTTTTAATGAGATGAACTGCTAATTTTAGAAATTACATACGATTTCAAACATYGCAGAGTTTTGGCCTATTATTTCAACAAATCTAGAAGGATTATGTGCAGTAACGTGATGATTTGTTTTGATCTTTTCTGACTATATATCAAATACAATTGTGAAAAGTGCTCAAGTCTATAAGTAGATAAGTAGCTATTGGTGTTAGGTTATTAATGGCGATTTGATACTTGCAATTACACTGAAAGCAAGTCACTCATGGTTCGTACGTGCTAGATTATCTTTCTCTGAGTCCATTTTTTAGCACTGTACGGCCGACAAACAATAGAATAAGAGATTTTCTCGTTTATTTCAGATTCACAAAGTGTCTACTACTTGAGAATTATTACATCTCTTTCAGGGCTACGCCCATAAGGTAAGAMTTTTTTTGTAGGAAATGTTTACAAAAAGTGATTTCTGAAAAGCAATATAAGCTGCTAAATTGTCATTGCTCAACTGTAAAATATTTTTAAGTTCTTCGTAACATCTAACCTGCCTAGACTAGCCGTTTTGCTATATGCAGGTTATATGTGTTTTTGTCAAATATTACACCGAAGTTATAATAAATCTGAAATCTGAAATCTG